AAAGAAAGCAAGTGTTTCACCATCACCAGCCCCCAAAACCCCACTAGCTAGAATTGACTGTAATATAGAATTATTAAGAAATTACAAATATTCTTTTAAAGTAACCTGCAAAGAATATATATTTTTCAAAAAATGAATTAATTTTCCTTAAAGCCTAGCTCAGTTAGTAATAGTATATAAACTATGATAGAGAAAAGAAAGTCACTTATAGGCAATAAGAGCAGAGAGGACTATTAAATACATTAATAAAAGACTTAGAGTAACTTTTTTACAACTAGACTAAGGATTAACCAATCAACAAATATAAGCGGTAGCGGAAGCACAACTCGCTATGACGATCACGGAGTCGTTCTTCATAATATGCTAGATTATTTCAATAATCGTTCATGAGAAAGTATGAGTAATGTTGCTAATTAATTGAAGTATCACAAGCAGCTGATTGTCAACAGATATGAGAAGATTTAGAGAAATGGCTCTCGACTGGAATCTCGAAAACTCAGAAACTTATGTATGGACTCCAAAAATCTGAATTCTAATATTAATCGATAGTTTCCTGCTTCAGTTAAGGTATCTCCAATAAGAAATTTTTCTGAGCCAACTAAAGTCAAAATGATTTCTAAATTGATATAGAGGAATAAATAACTTTCAAAGAAATCAGTCGAAGTTGAGTAATAATAGCAGTCAATAAATGTGATTTCAATTTTTAACAAGAAGAGATTTTCTCAGGATCTGCAATCACCAACTAATACGAGTCTATTTCTTACATCTGCTAATATGGTTAATTAAAATGATTCGCTTAATTAAATAACTTAACAATCGGTCCACCAAAAATAAATTGTGATTAAAAAAAAGACGCCTAGAACAAAACAACCACTTTCCATTTCAGTGTAACATCATGGAAATACAAGCATTGATAATATTCATTACCAGAGGTATGAAGCCTCACTCAGAGATAGATCAACAAATATATCTATGGGTATTTAGAATCATATTAAGGAATTAGAGAACTATCACAACTTGAGTGCGGGGTAAGATCATGATGAGAGTATAGTCAATTAGAGTCCAGAGACCTCAAGGTATCAGAGGGATTACATTTAACAGCAAAATTAGCCTCTATAAGAATCTTAACACGGACCAAATTGCATAATAGACAGTTACAGAAATGGAAAGATGAGGACAATACAAGAAATAGAAAATGAATTAAAATAAGATGTATTCAATTGTAAATTCTGTAAATGAGTCTAAAACAAACTAATGAATAAAGAGTTAGGAGATAGAGATATACGAAGGTAAATGAATTTAATTCCTAAGCTGCTCATATATAATACCCATGACATTAATGTGGGTTACAATTCCCTCGCTTCTGAGTGATACGATCCAATAAGAGTAGAATAAAATGCCACATAGCAAGTAAAAGAAGAAAAAGAACCAATAATGGACACTTTTATTTAAAACACCCTCAAGAAAATGCAGGAAAACTAAAGTGACCCAGCCATTGATTAGTAATAGCTTCTGAAATAATTGAATGTCATTCTTGATTAGAATTAGAGCACTGCTTTAAGTACATTTCAAAATGATTTTAAAAATATCATTATGTCTAATAACAAGAGAACTAATAGTCAGATTTATTAATCAGATTCCACTATACATAGGATAAATGATGGCGACACAACCTCTGAAGATGAAGATTTAAACTTTTTAGAAAAACCAGAAGTTAAAAAACATGTTCTAATTTCAAAAGACGTAGGAAGCAAACTGATGGAAAGGCTTGGCAAAGTAGATTTATTCAAACAAGTCATAGCAGAGAAATTCAATTAAATAGAAGATGAAGACAGTTTCAGAAAGATGCTATTTCAAAATATAGACAATAAGGACAAAGAAAGTGAATTTAGAGACACTATCTATGATGGAATCAAAGAAAAAGTATTTAAAATTCAGAATCTGAGTACCGAAAACGACTCTGTTTTAAAAACGAATAGGACATAAGAAGTCTCAAATAGACTAAGATTTTTTGAACATCTAAGGGAACTAAGATAAAAGGAGAAAATATTATCTAACGACTTAAAGGAAATTCACAAGCCAAAATTCAGTAAGTATTATTTGTTCATAGTTATTATAGATGATGGAAGACAAAGCCAAATAGTTGAATTTTTGAAAGCCTGCAATCAAAAAAATGCAATCCCACTACCTAAACTTATCACCTCTGTTAAGGATAATTCATACAGCCTATCTAATTATAATATGACCTAAGGGTTGTCTAATGCAGTATCGCACTCAATTAACGTAGGGAATGAGAAAGTAGTTACTCTTAATCTATCAAATAACATCTTGAAAGATTAAAATTTATCAAATTTGATTGATCAGCTGGATCCAAAGCTTTAAATACCTTATCTAAAGCATCTAATATATACTAACCAAAATGAGTTTGGAAATAAGTCTGCTAACTCTATCGTAAGTAAATTAATGACCAAGGTACCCCCACATCATTTGGAGTCTATTCGAATTGTGAATTGTAAGGTTTAATCCGGTTCTGTTAATAAAGTTTTGTAAAGTTTGCAAAAATTAAACCAACTAAGGCATCTTCAAATACCTAAGTGTAATTTAACAGAGCACTCAATCGAACTACTCACGACTATAATTTCTAAGACTTCATAAAATTTGATAGAACTAGACATAAGCTAAAATCAACTGAACTCCCTATCTATTGGATAACTATTGAAAAGTTTAGAGAAAAATGAAATATTGCAGGATGTTAATCTATCTTGGAATGAAATTAAGTCTGAAACTGACATAAGACCTTTGCTAAGGTTTATAAGAGTTAATACTAATCTAATCCATCTTGATCTCTCAAATATGCTCTAAAATGCTAGTCAGATAAAATACATCATAAAGGCAATAAAAAGATCACTGTCTCTATAGTCAGTTCATTTAAACAATACAAATCTTATTTAAATTGATTCAAAACTTAAAAAGTATGTTTGGAGGAAATTAAACCTGAGAGAATGGATGCAAGTTAAATGTAGAAAGGCTAATGTCAATTAAATATTTAAGGATCAATGGAAAGATTAAATGATTATTCTAAATGAGAAAAGTGCTGGTGAGTAAGAAATCGAATACTATAAGTCACTCAAATAAATAGATTAGTTAAGTATTCCTTAAAAAGAGAGGTTTATCTTGTGCAGGGTATTAGGGCATAATGAAATTAAAGGTTCGACCTAATGGACTTTATGCGAGGACTGCTTTATCTGTGATAGATGGACTTACACAGTCTTTGTATTTAAGCCTGATCAATAGAATTTAAGTAAAAAAGTAAATCCAGTGTGCTTTACTCATGGAAGTTTTGAGACATTTTGCAATTAAGTTCAATATAAGATGAGAGATGCCTTGAAATTCACTTCGCTGGCTGATCCCGATTTCGAAGAAATAAGATCTGAAACTATTAATAAAAGTGATAAAGTAGCAAGAAGAAAAGAACTAGAGAAATTCTATAAATCTAAATGGTAATAGATTCTCAAGTCATCTTAAAAATATAAGCAACCCTAAATTTTACCTCCAAACTAAGATATATAAGATTTTGATGATGATGTTTTTCTATTTGCTGAATTTGTAAAACCCACTAATAGATCAGAATGGTACTAATTTACCTCAACTGTTTCTAAAGGAGAAGATATAGAATTATTCTATCCTAAAGTTCGGAAAGAAGAACTTAAGCCTTTTGTATATATCCCCAAGAAATAAAGAAGATCAATTGATCTACATGCAAATGTGTTTACTGATTGGAAAAAAGATACAAATGATACTTATGTTCAAATGGCCAAGGAAGATGCTAAATTTTGGAAAATTAATAGATTTATTAAAGATCCTGAAGATCTTAAGTACTGTGAGGACGTGATTTTAAAGAATTACGCTAAACTTAAGGATATATTTATCTCATTGATAAGTCAATCTTACTATCCCAATGTAAATTGGCTTGAATTTTTTGAGTTCATTAGAGAATGTGATATAATGGACAGCAATCTGAATATGTCGTCAATTGATCGACATTTTATTGCCACCAATGTTGAACTAGAAGAAATCGATGAAAATCCTGATAGAGCTCTATGTAGATACGAATTTCTAGAAATCCTTGTTAGAATTGCAGGCTAAAAATTCAAGGAGTCAAAGAAAGTTTAGACTTATGGCGAAGCCTTTGAAAAACTACTTAATGAGCACATTTTCAATAAAGTAAAGGTGCTACCATGGCAGAAATTTAGAGATAATGAACTATGGACGAGAGATGTTAATCTCATATTGCATGCAAATATGGAAGGACTGCAAAAACTCTATAAAAAGTATATTAGGGTGAAGACTAATTTTATGAGTTACTAAGATGCTTTGAATCTTATGGTGAAAGATAGTGGAGTTTGTTTACTCTTAAAAGAAGCCACAATGTGCTATGGAATGTGTAAAATGAGTGTGATTAATGAAATGGCTAAGGGACCAAATCCTTATAAAAAGCTACAGTTTGTGGAATTTCTTGAGTACATTGGCAGAGTTGCTGCTGAAAAGTATAAAGACTGTGATGATTGGAAACTTTTTGAGAAGATAGAAAGAATTCTTGATGATTTACTGCCCTTAGTTGGCTTTAGAAGAAGAGATATGACTAGAAGAGTCGACATTGCTTCATAAGAAAGCGAAGAGAGTGTTCTGGATGAGGAGATTAACCAGATATAAATTGATTTAGATAATAAAAAGAGAGATCATTTCATTTATTCAGAAAATAGATGAAATGGAATTTTTAAGTATAGGAGATTAAATTCTAAGTAACTTATGATTATATTAATATAATGAATTTGTTTTAATTATTTGCATATTAAAATCTTGATTTAATAATTCAGATGCGGGGTTTTGGGGTTTTGGGGTTTTGGGG